CTTTAATTTCTTTCTGCCGTGTTTTTTTTTTTTTTTTTTTTTGGTCCCCTTCTTTTCGACTTTCTGTTGCGTTAGACAGGAATGAAAGTTTTGGCGCAAGGAAAGGAAATTTTTGATCGCCAAACAAGTAGGCAGGACAGATCACCACGTTGCGTGGTTTTGGAAAGCGCTTGCGATCTTTTGAAGCCTTCACACGATGGCTTTAAGAGAACCAATTATTTCTAATTTTTTTTAATAGCTAAAAATAAAAATGATGCGAATCGTAATTAATTTTAGAATGCATTATCATTTATTGAATATACGGAAACTTCCTCCGAGATGCTTATTGTTTTTAAGAAAAGAAACGTAACTGATTTCCTATTAAAATAAAAAATATTGCCACTTGAGAAAAATGTTTAGTGCAAGCCTCATCTTAAGCGACTGGACGTAGCTATGTATTAAGAGAAATGAATGCGTTCCCACTTCCTTAATAATTATTTATAAAATAAGCGTATAAGTCTCTACGTGAAGATAATTGTAATGAAATAATATAATATAACAATTTTTTTTCTTCTCCAATTTTACACTGCTTTTTTTAACAGTTGGTTTTAAATATGTGATTTTATATTTCATATCTTAATATGCTAGGAGATGCTAAATTTTTAAATTATATGTTTAGCATCATACAGCATTTAAACAATATAATTGCCTCGATTAAAATTGGCAATTTTGTAAAAGTATGCGGCTTTTACATTTTCTAAAGTCTTTTTGTTTTTCAGCTTTTGGAACTTCAGTCACGTGTGAAAATTCTAGTGGTCTTCATATACAGACATTCATATTACGAATATTAGAAACAGAATCATTATTAACTAGATGTAACTTGCAATGCGGCAGTTTGTTGCTTTTTAAAAAATGTAGTCAAGTAAGTATCTCGGCATAATTTACCATATGTGTTCGCGAATATTGTGCAGATGAATTGATAAGAAATGAGTTTTACAAGAATAGCTTGTAAATAACAGGGAGCATATTTGTCGAATAGAGTTAGCATCAACTATAGAGCGAAATATACAACGAAAAATACGAATATTTCTGAAAATGTGACATACAAAGAAAAACTTTGCTTCCTTGATTTCAGATGGCAATACTTGCCTAACAGATGAAATGTGTTCATGAAGGAATCTCCAAGATTAATTGGCTCGCATTTATACGATAGGAATTTATTACAAAGAAAAACCGCCGCATGTCCATGTTGCCAGCTTATTTGCCAGGATTCGAGCTATTAGAATTTAGAGATTCATATGCCTGCTTTTTAACAAAGCCAGTATAAAGAAGAGGAGCCGCTCAACCGGTATAGTGGTTAGCGTCGCTGGCTGCCGTGCCGAAGGGCCCGGGTTCGAATGACAGTGAAGGCATGGATGTTTGTAAATGTACAGTGTTGGTGCGGTATGGTGGCGCTCCAAATATGCGGCTAGCCGAAAGTCCTCTCGTATGGCTTGTGGAAGGGAAGAGGGGTGGGAGACTCTCGGATCCGTCCTCCCGGGGGATTCGCCATCAAAATTGGGGGGTGGAACTGAGCTAAGTCGCACTGTCACCTGAATGGTGGTCAAGGTTGTTGCCAACGGCAGGCGTATTCTAGCGCTTCTTGCCACGAGGCACTTCGTGGGTTTGGGCTGACTACGTCAGATAAGTGAGCATAAGCAACAACAACAAAAAAATTGATACGGTTTTGGCGACTTTTTCACGTTGCCATAATGTAATAGATGGAAAAATTATAAATATCAAGAAGATGTGAAATATCTAATCTAACAAGTTATTTGTTATATTTCGGAATAATTCCCATTCGTATTATCAAAGACGCCTGCAATCAATGGTGATGGAAATGCCTTAAAAATTGTATATATAGTATTATGCATAGCTGCTAACCTTGAAATATGAATAAACGAGAGGTTTTAGCGTGAAAAGCGGAGTTTCCAGAAGGCTCTGTGCATGTCGATGCTATTTCAAAAGAATTCGCAAATCCACTTAAATTCACTTTTATAATGCATAATTCAGGGTACTGAACAATTTATATAATATGATTTTGATGGAAAACATGTTACATAGCTGCGAAATTTAAAAAATTCACCAAATTGCCTTCCTTTTAGTGATTTTTCAGCAAAATTTCTTTTCTTTTCTTTAAATTTTCTAATCTATTTTAGATGTTTGTGTAATTTTTTTATGACGCTTCAAACGAAGTTTAATCAATATTTGTATTTAATTTTATTTTACAAGAATAAATAGAGCATTATTAATTTTCTTAAAAGTCTTTGATAAATAAAAGAAATTCTTCCTTACTCAAGATTTTTTCTCTTCAAGAATATCTTTTTTCTACATTAGAAATGAAGCAATTTTGAAGTGCTGTAACGGAAATAAACATTCTGAATACTACAAATTATCTCATGCAATGAGAAAGCTTTTCTTCAAATTATTAAATATTTAAGACAAACATGATACCTAATTGTAAGAGATCCCATGGCTACGTTTCTAGTAAAATAAACTCCTGAGAATATTTTGTAACAGGAACTACTAATTTCAACAAATGAGGAAGAGCAAATTTTTAAAACACCTTAAAGTTCTGTGTAATGTTTTAATAGACTAAAGCAACTTTAACTTGCAATTTGTTAGATACAACTTAAATCAAATAATTAAGTGCCTTATAAATTGTCTTGTTCGGTTTAACATTTGTAATACAGTCAGCCCTCGCTAACACGAATCTCAAGGGACCTAAAAATCAAGAGTTCGAGCTGAAAAAAAAATTCGTATTAATTAGGGACTGAAATATTATTTTTGGAATAATTTCTTCTACATTATAAAGTTTCGTCTTCTTTGGTAGCAAAAAAAATTCGTATTAACTAGGGACTGAAATATTATTTTTGGAATAATTTTTTCTACATTATAAAGTTTCGTCTTCTTTGGTAACATAACTCTAAAAACTAAAGCGGCTTATCGCTAGGTCTTGTAAATTACCTCGGAGATTGAGAAAGGATGTAAAACACACCCTTTTATTTAACTCAAGAAGTTAACAAAAGGCACTGCTTGTGCTTACAGAAACAGCCACCATTTATGGCTTGAATGAAAAGAAATAATCAATTAAAATTAAGTAAGTAAAATTTAAGTTAGTCCAACTAACTTAAATTTTACTTACTTAATTTTTATTACATTAATCATTTACAATACAAAATTACGTAATATGACAATAATATACGGAAAATAACACTAACAGTTACATAATATTACAATATATGTCGCCATAAGTAAACTACTGTACTACACTAATTACTGAACTGTAAGTTGAAAAAAAAAAAAAAAAAAAAAAAAAAAAAAAATGAACTCACTGATCAACTTCTCGGCCTACGGTACTCATGGCTACTAGCGGTAAGTTTGCAGAGACATGGTCAGCACTCTCAGAGGTCCGCGGTTCGATTTCCGGCGAAGGCATTGATAATTTTTCATCTTTCCGGCTTCCAAAATATCTAAGGTTTGCAGAGACATTAGCGTGCTGAGCGTGCTGACCACTACACCAAGAAGTGCTGACCACTACACGTGCTGACCACTACACCAAGAAGAGTCGTTAAGAAGGCGGAAGAAATACTGAAAGTCACCCTTTTAAAGGGCGACTGGGTTTTAGGGGACCCAATCGCCAAATCCTGGATGTGGAGAATCATCATCCAACGTCCTTTTAGTTCGGGGGGGGGCACTGTAGCGACATTAGGTATTTTGGAAGCAGGAAAGATGAAAAATTATCAATGCCTTCGCCGGGAATCGAACCGCGGACTTCTTGAATACTCGCCCAGAGTGCAGAGCACCGCACCAAGAAGGCGGAAGAAGTACCTTATAAGTTTAGTTAGATGCTGCAGCAAAACCTTCCACAGTGTCCAAGGCGTTAGCATTTCCTAGCGTTTGAGCAGAATGATATTGCCCTCCTCACTTCCTTCTGATGACGACATTTCTTGCAGGTCAGACACAACTACTTGTACAACAGTTTCCACTATAGCCCATACGCCACCAACAGACTTCCCAAAACTCATCGTTGATGCAAGAATTGCGTTCTTCGAACAATGTTACTCATATTGGCTTTTTTTTTTTTTTTTTTTTTTTTTTAAGAATACAGTATATTGTGCAGGGTTTTCAATTAAGCACGATGGAAAATTTCTCAACGTACTCCTAACACAAGAAAAACAATATGAAAAACTTTGTATGTAAGTTCGTGTTAAATGATAAAATTTAACTGCATAACAGATTAAAAAAGCGGTTCGCAATTCACGCTACTGAAATTCACGTTAACCGATAAAACTTCCTATAAGATCATATAGTACATCGCTGATGGGACAGAAATTTAGTTCATGTTAACCGAGTGTTCGCCTTAAGCAATGTTCTTTGGATTCCATGTTCCTTTAAAACAATAATTCTCTAATTTCTGGAATCTTTAAACACACCCAAATACGCTCAATAGCAAAACTTCACTGGTGTAGAATCAATTTTTCACTGAAGCCTCCATATTTTATACTATATATTTATTAGAAAAGACTTCCACTGAAAGAACGGAATTCCGAAAGGACATATTCCTCATGAAGTGTTAGGAGCACGGCCAGGAATCCCGACAGTTGTCCGTTCCTAATGAAGCGTTAGGAGCATGACCTGCGTTGTCCTCTCTTGCAGCGCAAGACAGGACAACGCAGTTGTAGACGGAAAGCATTTCTCCCTCAATAATGTGATTTTCTATTAAGTTCTGAATTCCGTATTCCCTCTCCCCTTCCTATCTTGATTACGTCTTCTTAGAACTCCTTCTGCTGGTTATTAGACTGTTGTTTAATTAATTAATTAATGTAATTTATTAGACTGTTGTTTTAATTGAAGCCTTACAAATCAATTGAATTCGCAATGTTTAACATCGCAGACTGCAAAGTTTAAAAAAGAATTTTTGGGCGGGGAGGGAGGAGGGGTTGTAGATAATGAATTTACCTGTGCAAAATTGAACATACCTTTTCTAAGTTTCTAAAGCTTTACCGGATTCTGTAAAGAAATTTTAAGCAATAAAAATTAAAAAAGAATTTAAATATATATTTAAAAAAGTTACGACACTATCATTAAAAGAAAAATCAAATATAAAAAGGTCCTTGAAAGTAAGGAAAATTCATTATTAACAAGGCTGTTTTAGCTAAGATAAGAGACTTATCAAGAAACTCTTTAAATGCCATTCTTATTGTTAAAAAAAGGTGAAGAAAATTGACCTATTAATTTGGTTGAATTGAAGAACATATTTGCTGGTTCTTGAAATTGGGTGGGTGGCCGAGTTCCCCTGAACGTTTGGAAGGTCCCTCTTCTTAAGGCTGAAATCGAAAAGACAATTATATTAAAGCGATACGTGAATAAATAAAATATTTCTTTGGATTAAATTTTAAATTTAATAACACAGATTTCAAAAATTGAATTTGAATTTTTTTAAACTCCGCTTTAAGAGGCAAATGAGGAAAACCACAAAAACACTCATGCAGAGTTCACCAGTCCAGGCCAAATTACCGAAATATCTGTACTCAAAAATGCAGTTAAAATAGGTTTTTTTTTTTTTTTTTTTTTTTTTTTTTTTTTTTTAGCTCAAAGGAGCGTTAGCCCAGAAGAGCTATCAGTCTGGAAAACGCATTTTGCTGCAGTCCACTATAAATGGCGTATTACTTTTTAAATTGTTGCCATCAAATATTTTCGCTGTGTACCATATTTAAAGAAACTAAATAGCGAAGAATCTACATGAATGTATGCATGTTTCTCGCTTGTAAAAAAACGACGGTATCTAGAACAATCAAATTTTGAATAACGTAATCCTCCAACTGAACATGGGCAACTGGAAGCCCGAATTCTGAATTTAGAATTTGTTTTATTATCTATTTTATATTTCGTAAAACGTTAACGAATTTTTGATTAACAAACTCAACGATTTCAAAGCGAGCAATGACAATACTGCACGGAGAAAATCCTTTTTATCTCCATCTCGCGATGCTGTCTGTCGGACATTCTAAAGATATGCTGTTTTCTAAATATTTTGTGATAATGCTGTTGAATTGAATTTTATCTAGTTTAAGGGCGAAGACCACGATATCCAATAAATAAGGGTAACACACAAAAACGTTAAAAAAAAGTCCCTTTGGAAGCAAATATAAAATATGAAAAAAAAACCTTCTTTTTTTTAAAAAAAAAAAAAAAAAGCTTTTTCTTAATGATACGTGAAAAGCGATATTATGACAGCAAGTGCCTCATTATTTTACAGAGGTTTTCTTGTGCAGAAAATATTCCTTTTCTTCCTAGGAAAAGTAAAATCTTACATTTGGCATCTCTCACACTAGTATTGTTTTCCCTTAGAGTTCAACCTACGAAATGCCATTCTGTTTAACTACTGTTTTTATGCCGTACAAATACATTTTTCTGCCTGAAGTCCAAGAAATCTATGAGATCTGCACTAGGGCGGCACAGATCTTGCCAACCTCCCATCATGAACTGCCAATCATCAAGGTCGGAAACCTTGCATATGTTCTATTAATTCATTCCTAGTAATTTTCTCCCCTTTTACTGATTCAGGGTGTTAACTTGTGTCCTGTTTGTGACGTCATAGAAAATGGCTCAAAATTCTAGTTATTCCTACACACAAACAGGCCTAGTTTCCGTTTCAACCACATCGGCCCACGAATTCGACCTTTACTCCTGCTTCCTTCTCTCCCCTTTGATTTCAAAGAGAAAGCGAAGCAATGTTCTGTGTCGGATGTTGACCTTTCATTTCTTGCATAGGTGCTGACAGGTTTGAATGGGTGTTTGATGTTCCAAGATTATGTGTTAAAACGGCTTCCCCTCTGATAACAGATGATGAATGTTGGCTTCATGAACGATATATATTGCAGATAAAACTTTCTTTTTTAATATTCAATATGTATAAATTGCAGATAAAACTTTCTTTTTTAATATTCAATATATATAAATTGTGGATAAATATTTATCTGTTAGAAAACAGATAGCAAAGAAAATTTGAGTATCTCAAGAATTAAATCGCTAAATGCTCTGAGAAAATATTAACATTTTTAAAATTAACCGTTTGAAAGATGAAAGAATTGAAAATTATTAAATTATAAAAAGCTGTAAAGATGTTTATAAAAAATATATGTTTAACAAAAGAGACCGGAAAACTATCTTAAAATCAATTAAGGATTTTATCATGTTTATTTTGAAATAAAATGAGTATATGTTTGCTTTGAAATAAGTCCATTTTGGATACGAAATTTTTGTTTGCTTTAATGCTCGAGTTCAATGAGTCACGGCTGCGCGTACTACCTTTGTTTACCTCTTTTGAGAGAATGCTACAACAAATGCACAAAAACTCGATAATAAATGTACAGTACGCGAAAGGTCCATAATAATGTACAGCAAGGATTTATTGTGCAGCGGATGCCAAATCTTTGCCAAATAAATGGATGCCAAAAACTTAGCAGCGGAGTACCATCCCAACAAAGCTCAAACAGGATGTAACAGCATTGTTTTTTAATGAGAAACAATGTCATATTTCCAAATAATATTCAAAAGAAGGTAGAAAAAGATCTTTGGACAGATTTTAGTAAAGGTCAAACCTGATGATCCTCAACAAGGTCCAAGTATAAATCTGACAGAAGAAAAAGAGACAAAATAAATCTGGCATATTTTCATTTATGTAGAGTATATATTTCACTCACTGTATTTGTAATTTAATATTAAACTATGTTATTACAGAAGCAATAGGTTTAAAAAAAACAGATTAATTCTTTTTCCTTTATTTCTTACTGTAAAATTTCGTTTGTTAGACGTCTAATTTAGTAAAAGTTTAAAGATCTGAATTAAACTGGTTTCCAAAAATTAAGGAAAAATCAAAAAACTAGCGGCAACACGTTCAAAACTAAGCCAATCCGTATAAAATTTGACTATGTTGTCAATTAAGGATTGCTGAGTAAAATTTCAGTATGCAATCATTAGTGCTGTAATACGTCATCTGCATACAATTGCATGTTTCACAGCAAGCCTGAAAATTTCGCTGTGATACTGAGATAAGAAATCTGGGATAACCAATTTATAACAATGATCTCCAGACATCATTTGCCAAAAGAACTGCGATTAAGAGCTGTTGGGAGACTAGAGGCAAGCCAAAGTCAGACAGATGTGGCCAGATGGCTAAATGTGAGTCACAGAGTTCACAGAGTTTGGCAGCAATTTCCAACCACAGATTTGGCATCCAGGAGGTTTAACCAAAGACAGCCAACCGCTACGATGAGCACTGATGACCGATTTTTGCTGTTATGCTCACGAAAAATAGAGCCACAACTCCTATTCAACTCAGATCCTCCTTGTGTGCAACCACTAGAAGATTGGTGTCAACGTCAGGCATGCGTAGAATACTTCACGAATTAGATTTGCATGCGAGGCGACCAGCCATTTGCGTGCCGCTCGCGTCACGTCATAGAAAAGAACGTCTGAGGTGGGCACATTAACATGTCCACTGGACAGCTGATCAATCGACGGTTTTTTCTCTTTACGGATGAGTCCAGGTTTAGCTTCCAAAATGACAGCAGGCATTATTTGATTTGGAGAGAACCTGGAACCAGTTATCATCCACCAAACATTCGTTCGTGAAAGAGATACATACTCAGGAGGCAGTGTCTGCTTTTGGGATGATATCTCTTTCGGTGGACATGTCTTTTCATGCTTAAACATAACTGATCAGGATATAGGGATAACATCCTTAATGCTTATGTGCACCCTTATAGGTGATAATTTCCTGCTATAGAGCGGCAACGCTAGACCGCACAGCCCAACGTGGATAATTATCTTCAGCAGCAAACAATTCAGCGCATGGTATGGCCAGCTCGATCACCGGACGTGAATCCTATCGAGCATGTTTGGGATGATTTAGGAAGACGCATAGATGCTCACAATTTAGACTCTTGCCACTATGTCTACGTTATATGCCTCTCACTTCATACGGAACTGATAGGCTGCATAACTGACAGCATCGCACATCGCTATACGTGTTGCAATCTATACTAAAGGTAATTTTCCTATACTAAACTAACACATCCGATTTCTTCATTTTATACATATGCTAATTTCTATAACACCATAATTGTTTGGTAATTTCTTTTCATGTTATTTTATACCTTACTATATATATGTCGTATACTGCCAGTCAGTTTCATTAAATTCTACATATTACCTTTTGAGTAATCGTCTTTTTTTTTGTGGTTTTTCCCTTAATCAATGATAACCAGTGTTGCTTAATTACGAATAATAAGATACTGAAATAGTCCTTTATTATCAGTCAGTTCTTGAAATAAGCTATTGAAGATACTGTATTATTATTAAATGTTCAGCCGATTAAAAATTAGGAATGTTTGTTAAGGAAATTTAAAGAATGATTTTAAGGATTTTTAGCATCGTTTAAAGGTTTCTGATAAAATTCTTCTTTCTTGATTCCTAATTTTAAAACCAAAAATGCAGTTTCAGTTTATTGTCTACTGAACCTAAGGCTAAGAGTTTGTGGCTAAGAGTCTTTTTCAGCCCTAAATATTTTATTCAGGTTATAAAGAAAATCATTTTTAATGCTTTTTTGAAACGCAGTTTCAAAGTGCCGAAAAATTAGGTATGAATTGATGAACATTCTTGTATCTGAAACCTTAAATTGCAGAAACAATGGTTACACATTAAAACAAAATCGTAGGAATTCCAAAATATCACCCTTCACAACCTTCCCCTTCATACTTACATTTTTAGGAAACAAAACATAAGTTTGTCCACGCTTTTATCAAGCTAAAAAAATTAGTTGTGGCATACAAATCATCTGAACTAACCTTGTAGAGACATTAGAATTTTTTTTTGGAAGCAGGCAAGATGAAAAATTAGCAAAGCCTTCGCCGCGAATCGAACCGCGGACCTCTCAATTACGCGCTGAGCGTGCAGACCACTACACCACGAAGGCTCGTTAAGAAGGCGGGAGAAATACCTTATATATTTCCCCTTTAAAGGGCAATTGGGGTTTTTAGGGGACCCAATCGCCAAATCCTGGGTGAAGAGAATCATTATCCAACACCCTTTTAGTTCGGGCGCCACTATAGAGACATTAGGATTTTTCGGAAGCAGGCAAGATGAAAAATTAGCAACCCCTTCGCCGGGAATCGAACCGCGGACCTCTCAATTACGCGCTGAGCGTGCAGACCACTACACCAGGCGAGAGAAATATCTTATAACCTCAGATGGAGAAAACAGTATCCATAAATGAGAACTA